CCCCCCCATCCCTTTTGGAGGGTGCTCAGCCTCACTTTGTCAGCCTGTAAATGATCTTCTAGAAGATTAATCCGATGAAAAATGCTCCGAAAAAGGGAGGGTTTAGCATCTTTTGGGACTATTTTTTAAAAGCAATTCTTGTTTCAACATAAGAGCAAATCTGAATTTAAATCCAGTGGATTTGAGAAGGTATTCCATGAGTTAGAGGAGAGAACTATATTTAATTTGGATCTTTTAAATGTTGAAAAGTATTGGACGATGTGCGTAAAAGGACTCCTTTTGTAATTTATTTTTTTGGAAAGTAGCCTTTCTGTAGCTCCTTGAAGATCTTCGTTTCTCATTTATGGTGTAAATGTATTTATTTTTTCTTACATTCCTGATCAAGACTCTGACTTAAGCTGTACTTGAGTTGTAACTGTTGGAACGAGCTGGCCACTTGGCAGCTTTAATCCTCACAAACGTACGCGATGGCCTTCTTTTTATGAACAAGCTGGATGATTTTGCAGCTTTATGGTGCCCCAGAGTGGCACCAAATGGAAAAAAAGTACCCAAATTCTCCTTTTTGGAGCCTTTAAAGCAAAAAGAAGAGCAAATCTGGCCCCCAAAGCTCAAAGCGATACTTGAAGTGTTTGTTCCACAGCTCAAAACGACTGAAAACTCGCTGAAATATCAGGTTTTTTTGTACATTTGATACATTTTCTGACCTGTGCACTTTCATTAGTTGGCCGTTTTGAAGGGAATATTTCAGCTTTTCATTTCCAGAGTCCAAACTCAAAGGGGAGTTTGGCCTCGTGGTTCAGGTTTGGTCTCGTTGCTCCTTGTTTCTGCCGGTTTTTGGCATTTTTTGGGAGGAGTTCCTGGCCTGTGGATGCCAGCGGCGTTCAGCTTCTGGCCTCCAGTTGCTCTTTTTCCCGGTGGCTTTTTCAGGCGAGCGTGCACTTCTTCCCGGTTCGGCGCTCGCCTCCTTCCTGCCAGTGTGCGTTTGCTGTTTGTCATCATTTTTCTATTGTAAAATTTGACATGAATTTTGTACATTTCTGTTTTTTATACAATAAAGATTGATTAAGTTAGCTTGAGTGCTGTTTGGTTTGTGGCATTTAACAATATGTGGAATGGGATTTTTGTTTAAAGCATCAAATTTCAGACATATATTTTCAGATACTTTAGACTTTCTTTATGGTGAAGCTTTCCAGTCAAGTCGGTTTAAAACAGAGGAGAAACTAAGAGGTTTAAAAGCGCTGATTGTGTGCCAAGCCTTCAAAGTTTGACATTTCTTCTTCTTCTAAGTGACTCCTTAATATTTTAATAATTGTAGATGCAACAAAAATGATGCCTCAAAAAAACATACAAGGATCTGATTAAAGATATTTACTGAAATCTGAGGTCTTTAAATGGAACTTTCTCCTTAATAATGATGTTGTTTCACTGGTTTTAATTCAAACTAATACTTTACAAGCACAAGAAAACACAAAGAGCAGTTCAGTCTTCACTCTCTGTTGCATAATACCTAAAATAAAATGCAATAAAATGCTCCTTATGTCCCCAAACGACCAGGAAAACAGCCTCAGGACATTATCGGAATAATAAATTAATCATCAGTCCACCTTTAGGGCTTAATTTATTCTGTTTGCCTTCATATGGAACAAATGGTTGAAGTATTTATGAGATGCTCAGAGATGAAATCTGCCCAACTGGAAATTATTTGTTTATCTTGTTTGAAGGAGAAAAGAATGAGCTTGTTTTAAATGTTTAAATGTGAATCCTTTATTTATTTAGATCGGCAAAGGCTTAAAAACACCTGCTGGTGTGAGTTCCCGAGTCAACAGGCAGCACTGGGAGCAGACCCCCCCACCCGCGCCTCAAACGGCTCTGCAGAGGGAGCCAATCACACGCCCCCCCGGGGCCAAACGGGGGCTCTGATTGGAGGCAACAGCGGGCACTTGTTTTTTTTTATTGCTGTCTGCTGAGTGGAGCAGAGAGAGTGGCCTCACAGCAGGGGGGCCCGATGGAGATTAAGCAGAGAGAGGAGAGAGGCAGGACCAGCACCAACGAAGAAGAAGCTGAGAAACGGAGGAGGAAGAGGAGTCGACTCAAGCAGTAGGCAGATGGAAGCGAGTTTAATTAGAGAGGCGTTCGGTAAATAATCTCCCTTCCTAATCCCGGGAAAAGGCCTCATCAGCCCACTGGTTTCATGTCAGTCACATTTGTTTTGGTGCATAAATAAATAAACGCAGTTCCATCCAAACGTGAGGAAAGACGCTCATTTCTGAGCAGAAGTCTCCAGCTTTCTGCATTTCTTCACGTTTTCATGGATGAAAAACAGAAAGCAGCCGGTGTGTTTTCTAAAATACTGTCGGTGATCCTCAGAAAAGACAGAAAAATGTTGTTAAAGGCTAAAAGGAGAATTTAAAAAGTGTTTAACGTTAAAGAAAATTACATTTTTAAGGTTCAAAGCTTCCTCAGAATGAAAAAATGATTTTCACTCCTTTAATCCTCTCGGTCAAATCGAACTCAAAATTAGGGAAAATGTACAAACTAACTAAAAGTTCCAGCAGTTTGGACCTAAAATATGAAGTTTGAAAAGGATTACTAGCCCTAAAAGTCTCTACTTTTATCAACAGAATTGTTATTCCGTCACCAGGAAAACAATCGGAGGCCAAAACCTTTTTTACTAAACGTTTTATTGGCAAATGTAAAAAACATCAGGGGTCAGGTTTCATGGGATCAAATGAGAGCAATCGGGTGATTCTTCTGATATAAATAACCTGACCGAACGAGGAAAGGGCTGCAGAGCTCTGGGTGCTGAAACCAGAACCGGACGGCTCAGTTTGGTCCAAAGAAGTCCACCACGCCGTTGCCCTTACGGCCGTCAAAGAAGAAGAAGTTACGATGGGGAGCGTCTCGCTGGGAGAGAGCCTGGAAGGACAAAAACACAAGACTCAGAGGGGGGATATGGCCTTTTCCTCAATCTTTTCAAACATTATAAAGGCCTAATTTTTCTAGATTAGACTCCAAAACCCCCAAAAGGCTAATGGGGGAAAAGGTGGAATTCCTCCTTATTCACTGATTCAGCACCTTTTAAAAAATGACTGAAACCCCCAAAACAGCTTTATTTCTGCTGGCCTTTAAATGTCCACAGAAAAACCAGAGTTAAATTATTTCAGGCAGCTGGAGGAAACTGGACAAAAACAGACAGAGTTTCATTTTTAGGGTAAAAGCTTAAAGCGTCTCTGAAGAAAAATGGAGCTCGGTCATGTAAAGTTGGGTTTTGATACCCCAGAAACCAAAACAGGGGGAAAAAAAACAATCCACAAGAAGCATTTAAAGGTCCTGGAGTGGAGACCCGAATTGAACCTAAAGAGGGTTTGGGGGGGGGACCTGCAGACTCCAACTGGCCTTTTATGAAGATTTAATTTTGGTAAAAACTGTGATTTTTCTTTTTGGGCTTCTGTAGTTCAGAGTGGTGTCCTCCACATCCTCAGGGGGCCGATGGGTGGGGTGGGGGGGGGGGGGGAGATTTAGTGACCGGCTGGATTTGGATTTGATTGAATTGAATTTGTTTTCGTTTTGAGAAGTTTCTGAGCGGGGGGGAGCAGAGGGCGGGCGGCGGCGCGGGGCTGTGGGCGGAGCTCCGGCCGGCTGGTTGCTGCCTGTTTCATCATCCGTGAGCGGCCCCACACAGACAGGCTCACCCAGACATGAACCCCCGTTTCCTCAGTCTGAGGTATAAAAAAAACACGCCATCTCACAGCAGAAAAAAAAAGAACATTTCATTAGCAGCTCCATATCACATTAGTTTCTAGAGATGGAGCCATAAGAGGAAGTCAAAGTAAAGAAAAACGACCACTCCTGGTTGGTTTAACCCTTTAAATAACTGGATCTGACTGTGACCCCCTCCTAAATGTGGTGCACAGCCTTTAGGATGAGGGGGGAAACGTATTTAAGGAGTCCAGATCAGGACTCTGAGCTTCCTCACACGGGCTGTAAAAACCACCTCAGTCCGGACTCTTACTTTGACGACTTCCTGTCCCAGGACTCCTCCCACGACGGCGCACACCGGGGACATCTCCGAGAAACAGAAGCTGAGGAAAAGCGGGAAAAGAGAGTTCTGTTTCAGCCTTAAGACGGCCCGAATTCCTCCCTCTGATAAAGAAAGTTATCCACAGCTAACATCTGATCTGCACCTCCTCCACGGAGATCCCATAAAAGAGAAACTCCTGTTGGAAGTGAAACTAAAACCAACCCATCAAACTTCGGTTTGACCAGCGACGGATAAACAACCATCCGATCCAATAACATAAACTACAGAGCTTGTTTTAGATTTCAGGAGGAAGTCTAGAAGATAAAGAGGTAGATGCCACATTAAGGCGATCCAAAAGCAGGAAAACCTCAGGTTTGTACTCCAGAAAACAAAAAGTTTCCAATCTTTTGGAGATCTGATAACGTCGGAAGAGGGACGCTGCACAAACTGAGCAAAAAGGACAAAACTGACCACCCTGTTTATATCAAACTCTGCTAAAAATAAGTGCCAAGTGCTTTTGGCTCATGGAGAGATGCAGGAGGTCCTTCCTACCAGCAGCAGTTACTGTTGTTTTAAAAAAGACTCACCAAACTATCTCTCTTTAGGGTAAATAAAGCAATGTTCATTCTATTAGGAGCTGAGAAAGTCTTTGACTCATATGGATGGACTTTTTTTTCTATAAAGCTGAGGGATCATTTAGCTGTCGAGATAAACAGACACAAAAATATGAGAAATATGAGCCTCTCGTGAGACAAAAAACAGTTTTTCTTCCATTTAAATGGTTCTAACCCCATTTTACATGCAGTACATACAGTATTTAAAGAGTATTCTTTAACCAGGCCAAAGCCTCCACTGACAAACTCTTTATAGAGGCTTTATTTAAGGCCTCAGTTTGGATATTACGTGGATATTGTGGCGTCCCAAACGGGGCCAGGTCACCAGGTCACCAGGTCGTGTGACATGGCTTCTGATTGGTGTTTGCGGGCTCACCTGATGAAGTCGTCGCCCAGCAGCTCGCTGCTCAGCGCCGAGGCCTCCAGCACGTCGTCCCGGATCTGTTTCAGCAGCCGGCTGTCCTCGGCGACGCGGCGGGGGTCGGGGTCGCGGCCTTTGTCTGTGCGGAACTTCAGCAGCACTGAGGAGGGAAAACCGACCCGTGAGAGGCTGGAGGCAGCTCCTACACCAGCCGGCCGAATCCAGGAGCCTCTGGCTGCAGCCTGCAGGAGCCTCGGTCGGATGTCCAACACCTCCCACATCCAAGTCGGCCATTTTGATTAGGTCATGTGACTAGCAGCTTTCTGAGGTGGAAAGGAAACTTTACTGTCTATAAGAAATCAGAAGACAAACGATGTCCTAACCCTGACCCTAAACCTAACCCTGACCCTAACCCTGAACGTGACCCTAACCCTAAACCTGACCCTAAACCTAAGCTTGACCCTAACCCTGATCCTAACCATAAACCTAACCTTAACCTAACCCTGACAGTAACCCTTACCCTAACCTAACCCTGACTTCACCCTGACCCTAACCCAAAAACTGACCCTAACCTAACCCTAACTCTTACCCTAACCTAACCCTGACCGTAACCCTTACCATAAACTAACCCTGATCTAACCCTGACCCTAACCTAACCCCAACCCTGACCCTAAAACTGACCCAAAAACTGATCCTGACCCTAACCCTGACCCTAACCTAACCCTAACCCTAACCCTGACCCCAAAACTGACCCTAACCCTGACTCTGATGCTCCACCCTTCTTAATTGTGAGAAATAAATCTTTTTTGGTTAAACTTGTTTGGACTTATTGTACAAACCTATTTAACATCCACTATTTTAACATAATATTATGGATAGAGTTTAACTCAGTGTTTGCTAGATTCATTTCACAATTTTTAAATTAATGTCTATATTGCCATGAAGCAATTAGGATTTTCTTGCCTGGGATCGTCCTATTGGTGACCTAATCAAAATGGCCGACTTGGATGTGGGATCAAAACCCGGCGTGCGGTTGCACCATCGTCCGGTCCGGCCCACGTTTCCCCCCCACATCAAAATTGCCTCTCAGAGAGGAAACATTACGTTTTTTTTCCCTTTGTGTCGACTTCAGGGGGGGGGGTTGAAAAAGAGCAAATCTGAGCTGTGAACTTTATCTGGTCACGAGGAATATCTGAAAAAGGCGAGGAGCAGGCATCAGCAGCTCGCCCCCGCACTTCCTGCCCGTCCATTAGCCCAAACCACATCAGGAAGTGGAGTCCTCCCACGGCCATTTCCACCAACACACACACACACACACACACACACAGGTGTGCAGGCGATGAATCACTTGCTCTGCCCTTTATCAGAAGAAGGGCACAAATGGCATCACACTGGTGAGATCGAGCTAAATTTCGAAACGCCGAACGTGGATCTGCGGCTCTGAACCCACACAGGCAAAGAGCAGCAGCAACGGCCAAAAGACTAAAAAAGAGTCGTGTTTATCTGTTACAGCTGGTGGACTCATGCAACTCCTTTGAGAGTCAATCCCCCCCCCTTGGTGTGACGTTTGTGCCCTGAATGAGCAGCAGAGCAACTCTGTGGAGGCTCTTTAGTCCAAATGTTGTTTAAATGCTAAAATCCATGCGCTTTCCAATACTCTGCTTTCCGTAAAATATAAAAAAACGTCATCATTTCTGATTAAAATGTCAGATTCTGTTTCTGTGCCGTCATTCCTGAACAGAAATGAGAGTTTTAGTGTTATTAATGTTCTGCTTGATGCTTTTGTGACATCTCAGAGTCGGCTGAAATTTGGAGTGGAAAAACAAACAAAACAGGAAAACTGGGTTTGAAATCTTGATGAGCTTAAAAAAGTTGAAACACTGAGATAAAACCAACAGAAAAAAGACACAATAAATCAACATAAAACTCTCATATAGACGCACAAAACCACCGCAAAGACATTAAATAACCCCAAGAAGATGCCAAATTATACCAGAAGAACACGTCGTCCACAAAAAGACACAAAATGACCCAAAAAGAAATTAGTCAGACTCAAGACGACTGAAAAAAAGACGCAATAAATCTACAAAAAGACACAAAAGTTTAACCCTGAATAAGTCGGAGAGAACATCTGGAAACTCTGTGGGACTCAATAACCAGAGAAACTGTCAGAGAGGAGAGAAAAACCACCAGAAGAAGAATGGAAGCTGCTATCAGGAGCAGAGAGATGAAGTTTAAGCTGATTCTGAGAGGAAAATTAGCCTTTAGCTGCCTCTCTTTGGGGCTTTAACTCAGAAAGAACATTTGGGGTTTAAAACAGCTGGTCTGATAGACTGAATGAGCTGGTAATGATTCACACTTGTGCTGGTCACGTGTCGGGCTGCTTCTAAATGAGGACGAGACTTGCAAATATCACAGATAGGAATAAAATAAAAAATAAAAAAAAATAGAAAAACAAAACAAACACACCCTGCCTGCGGTCGACATCAGCCGACTGTTCCTAGTGAGACAGGAAGCAGTTATAACAGAGGAAGAGCCACTTCCTCATCGGGCGCCCAAAACAACAACCGCTGGCCCCAATTTTAGAAACCGTGAGGGAATAACAACGCCGGCCTCCGTCCCGCCGGCAGCCATGAAAAGCAAAAGCAACAACAACAGCGTTTCCACCCAGACCTGAGCCAGGAGGCTCAGGGGGGGGGCAGGCAGGATCCATGACGCCTACAGACTACCTAAAATTAACCAACAAGCTCTAAAAACACAGATAGGTGCCCCCCCCCATCCCCCCTGGCAGAGCTACACAGTGGGAGATTTATTTAGAAATCAGATGGAAATAATTGACATTTCCTTCTCTTTTTTTAAAATATATATATTCTTGCTCTTTTTCAGATTTCTTCCTGGTTCTCGTCCTGGTTCTGGTTCTAGTTCTGGACGGGCGACTGGATCTCAGAGCGGTTTCAGAACAATCTGACGGATCTTTTAAAGAAAACTATCATAAATGAACTGGACTCATTCGGGTTCTGATGGACCAGAACTGTTTGGACTCTGGTTTTTTTCCAGTCGGCTCTAACTGGACTGTGTTTTCTGGGATCCTGGAGAAGCCCCTCGTTGTTGTTTTCAGAACTAAAACTGATCTGAGTGGCTGCTCCCCTCCTCTGATGATCGGGGGTCTGGGGAGGTCTGGGGGGCTCGGGGTCCTGGGCGGGAGCCGGGTCTGGGCCCTCGCCGCCTGCTTGGCTGCACATGGCTGCTCATGGGCAGCCTGTGATGGAAACTGCTGTGTGTGGGGATGCTGACACCCAGCTGAGAGGGAGGGGGGGGGGGCAGCCTTCCTCCCACCTCAGGCCGCGGTGACCTTTGACCTGCTCAGCCAGGCTGCACCCGCGGGGGGTTTTGCATGTTGGCAGCGTGTTTCAGTCTCCCTCAGACCCCCCCCACGCACTCTCAGTTTCCTTTTTCTGGACTTTTTAAAGACATTTGTCAGGGTTCGCTCACCTCGCCGCTCTGCAAAAACACCAACGTCCATTTGCATCTTATTCACGCATTAGATGTTTTAACCGATTAAAATCCACTTTTATCACGTCTACACCCTCAGAGGCATCCTGGCAGAACCCGCAGGAGGTCTTTTTATATCCTACAGACAAAATATGTCGGTTTCCTATAAAATACTGTAAAAATTATATTCAACTATACGTTTTCTACTTTAAACAACTTAATCTTTTAAAGCTACCACAGCCTGAAATATACCAATAAAAATATAAAGTATATTTTTAGTAATTTAACGTTTTAAAGGCTGGTAGGTCTACATAACGCCACCGTAAACAAAGAATAGCGAAAGAACAACTTGAATAAAACCAACTGGACTTTTTTTTAATCCTGCTGCATTTATTCAAACTTTCCAGACTATAATGACCTGGATGACTAAAAGTCCACACCCACAAAATAAACTAAGTAAGATTTCAATTTAATTAAGATTTATAGAAGATTTCAGTGATTAATCAATGATATTTACTATCATTTTTTAAATTTATTAAGCTCCAAGATGGGTTACTGATTGACACAAACAGATTTTTCCTTTAAGCCTCCACTAGAAGACAGTAAAAAGTGACATTTTGCCGGATATCCAATGATAAAGAGTAGCGCCATCTGGTGGACAGATATAAAACCATAAATATAAAACCAGTGGTCCAAATTCGACCATTAACATAAAGGAAAGCTTCAGCTAATTTAAGGTAATTATGTGATCAAACGAGGCATTTTCAGTGATCTTCAACATCTGCTTCCAGCTGGAGGATCACTGTTGACTTTAGGAGGAGCCAACGGGGGAAAAACGTGTTGAATTCTGCGATTCTGCCTTAAAATGAACAGACAGAGAAACGCCTTTACGCACCGAGCAGCAGGAAGAAGTCGACGGGAGTTCTCTTCAGACCGGCTTTGGCTTTCTCGGTCGTCCAGTCGACCTCCAACGCCTCCTTCAGGGTGCAGAAAGCCGCCGTCTGATTGGGCCGGAGATTTAGAGACAAAGGAAGTGAAACAGTTTAATCACTTTGGGTGGAATAAGGAAATTTGGGGATATTGTTAGTTTCACCAAGAAACATCTTAAAAGTGGCCAGAAGCAAAAAAAGAAAGAAAACTGGGGATCGGATTGTACTTTTCTTCAGTATCTCACCCACCTTTTTCACCATGGTGGTCTCGTTGGGATCCACTCTGGCTTTCTTTGCTTCTGGCCCATCATTGGAATCTGCGCTGGGCTTCACGAGTTTGGGTTTCTCCCTAGAAGCACAACATAAAGAAATCTTTTATCGTGTTTAGAATTATGCATTTATGGGGAACAGATCCCTGTGTTGCCCACTCCTTCACAACAGGTGGGAACTGGGTCAGAAATGCAGATTACAGACTATAACGAAGCTTAATTTGTCCCACAGAACTCCCATAATCGTCAATTTGTTTGGTTCCCTCAGCTGGAAAACCTCCTTAAACTGGCTCCAGATGACATGGACGTATCTAAAACCACCCCACAATGAGCTGTCAAAGCCCCGGCAGGGGGGCGGCCACACTCACTCCACGTAGTGGTACTCCGGTCCCAGGTTGCAGAACATGTAACCGTAGTAACCATGGACGTCCCCGCAGAAGACCTTGATGCCGTGCTGCGAGCAGAGCTGGTCCAGACGCACCATCAGGTCCCTGGAGCAGCCCGTCAGACACACCTGAGGGGACACGGGGGGGCAGAGCTGTGGGGGCTGCGGCACTCTGGGATTCAGGCCACGTCCCCACTCAGAGAACCGGACCCGGACGCCACCGTCCACCCAAAACCTCCAGCCTCTGCCCATTTCAAACCCAGACTCAGCTCTTCTGTCTCCACTGGTGGATAAAAAAGAGCATAACCACCCCACACATATGTGTGTGTATTAAACTGGATTTGCGCGTCGCTTTGGGTCCTCGAATGTGTAAAACTTCCCTTTTAAAATGGATTTTAGATCCTTTTTAAAAGCTTCCAATGAGCATAAATAGTCTGCATTAATGCACAGGACGGTTTAAAAGTGCATGAGGTGTTTTGAGACCTCTGGAGCCTCACAGCTTCATAAGAAAGTGGTGTGTTTAAGTGCTCCTGGAAAACTGGGTCATTTGATACATCTGTGCTTCTTTCCCTCCTTAAGAGTTTTACATTTTTAATAAGATAATCTGTCCAATAACAGAGACGCAAATGTCTTATTTTGCAGCCACAGCTCAACCGGTATTGCTTTGTTTTAAAACACAACTTCAAAAACATGCGTTGACTTAATTCAGTCCCAAACCGGAACCAGCGGGGCTGTGATCTCCTAACAAAACACAAACAAGAAGAACCCAATGTTCAGTTCTCTGGTCAGCAGCCCCGCTGACCCGCAGACTCAAGGACACGCAGCTGAGCCCGCCGCCGTTACACAGTGTCCTGATGCACAACCAAGCTGGGAACGCCTGATAAGACGGAGCTGCACGGCTGCAGAGCGGCCGGGGTCAAGGGTCCGACGGCCCTGTTTACAGAGCCGCAGCATGACGCGCTCCAGATTAGATTTCACTCCCTTGAGCACAGCAGATGGTTAAAATCTACCTTTCTTATCTTCATGTGACCTGACAGGGAAAACGCACGTTAAAAAGCCGTAAAGGAGGTTGTTTTTCAGATGGAATCTGTGGATGAACGCTCCAAAGTCCCTAAAAACTGAACAGTAGCAACGTTTGCATGAGTCGTTAGGAGACGTTTTTTTCTGAATAACGGCCAAAGATGAAATAAACTGGGAGGAGTTATCATCTTTTCTGTTTCTGTACCAACTAAGAGCAATAACGTCTGCACAGTCACATTATGTGAGGTCAAATCTGACCCTTCTTTGTTGCCATACTCTCCCTGTGTGTGTGTGACTGTTTTTAGTAAACTCACCGCATCGAACTGCAGAAAGAAGTCGTCCGGTTTGGTTTCGATCCTGTCCCGGTCGGCGTGCACCTCCACCATCGGGTTGAGGTTCTGCGCTCGCTCCAGAGAGGCCTGGGCCCGATTCTGACCTCGCGCTGACACCGGAACCAGGAACTGGGCTCGACACGACTCCTCCGACACCTGCTCCACGCACATGGGAATTAATCGTTTAAAGGCCCACAACAACAACTTTATGCCTTTAAGCTATTTTGTCACATTTGGCATGTAGTGGAAAAAACACTGAACTGATTCAACTTTCTTAAAAGTCTAAAGGAAACTATATGTCTCATTTACCCTCAAATTACCTTCATTGTGATGCCAAAACATAATCTAGTAAAATTGTTTTCAGTCTTACTGTTTTTTTATTTACCATGGTATTATTTAGCCAATTACCCCCTCTAGTGGACAACACTGGTACTTCAGCTCTGAAACAGCTGGTAAACCTCCTGCCCCCCACATTTTGATGTGTCTCATTAGAATGGGTTTATACCTGTTCGTGGTCTAGTAAAGTTAGTCCTTTCACTCCCGCCAGGATCAAGTTCTTGGCTACTTCGGCTCCAAGACCACCCAACCCTGCCAGGAGCACGCGGGAGCCGCGTAACCTGGGATGTAAACAGGATGTTAGCTGGTGAACATCTGCAACATTCTGCTAAACACATGTAGGAGAGGCACATTCCACTGAACAGTCACGCTTTTTTTCTAATAAATACCCATGTGACAATTTTATTAAAGCCAAGAGTACGTTACATAAATAGTTTGAGTGTTATGCTAATTTGTGCTTGTTATCTCCAGCAGTGACCCTCATTCACCTCATTGTTTAATGTGTACTGAGTAAAAACAGTCTTTGTTCAAATGACCAAGCGACTAGCGTTATGCCAAAGAAATAGCACAAAGCCACTAACTCAAGTTGGTAAACCCATGCTGTATATTTATGTGTTGTATTTTGTTGAAAGCCGGTGGAGAAAGAGTTCAATGAGTCAAAGCATCCGCTGCGCCGATTAGCTTTGAGAGCTAACTGAGCTAGCCCACCTCTTCTGAGCATCCAGCCCCCACAGCCTGATCTGCCGGTCGTATTGCGCCGCTTCCTCCTCGCTGATGATCGGGTCCTCCTTCTCAATCATGCTGACGGTGTAAATTCACTCTAAAGGCGAAAGTTTTAAAGTAAATGAGCCTTTTGTTCAGCTGCAGAGGGAGACGTTTCAAAAGCCGCGAGCGTCCCGCTGAATGGGCGCCTAGTGATGACGTCAAAGAAGCAAAACAATGGACGCGTTTTCTTTTCGCTTTCCCCCTTAAAATTACGTATAGCCTTCACTTAAAGATGATATTGTCTATCATTTTGTTGACCTTTTTTAATTAACTTGTCCCGGATTCTAGCCAACTATTGAATGATGTCTCTAAAAAATGTTACGACAGTTAAAGAAAAACTCCCTTTTCCTGTGTGTTATGCTGCTTCAAAAGATTAAATAAGATTTATTTGATAGCATTTGTTTTCTTTGGTTTCTTCATTGTGTGGCGTCGTTGTCTGGCTTGACTAGACTATATGGGAAACATTTCCCCTCGGTGTAGGCTTCTGCAAACAGCCATTTTAACCTATTCTTGTTTTCCCTGGCCGTATGGGCATTCAAATGTTTGTTTCTTAACTTGTGTGTATAATATTTTGGTTTGGTGCAAACATTAGGCTAATTTCCTCAAGATGTTTCATTTTAATGTTTAAGTCTAAACGAGGTGTCCACAGCAAAGGCACAATCACAGGTGGAATATAAATCTGACTGAACAATCTTTTGATGTAGGATTGTTCTTAATGTGGACCAGCATGGAAGAATCACAGCAACAACCAGTAAAAAAGGTGTTTATATTTGATACATTCAAAGAATGGGTGTTGAACACTGAAACACACAACACATAAAACAGGAGATAACACTGTTCCTCATGGGAACTTCCAAGGAGACACTTAAATTCATTAGTCTAGTTGTAATGTTTGTGACCTTGTCTTTCTCCATGTACATTTTTTTTCTAATGAGTATCTCTTTCAGTTTGGCATGAAGAAAGATTCTATCGGTTCTTTTATAGCTAACTACCTAGTCAGAAAAAAACAGATATTGGACTTTCTGTTGTAATTATTGTTAATCATTTAGAAATCGCATTAAAACATTTCAGAATAGTATGCTACATGTGTGTATAAGCCAATAAAATGTATAAATCTGGAGCTGTACCGACCGTATATGTTACAAATGTCCTTTAAAGTTTTCATTCAAAGACATTTCAACGTTATTTGTATTCAGTAATTGTACACCGGTTCAATTAATCCACCCTGCGAGTCAAATTCGGGGCTCATTTCGTGAAGGCATTTACTGAGACTCGGTTATTTCCGTGAGATGCATACGTCATGATCGCCCCTTCGGTAACCCCGCCCCCTTCCACTTTGGAGAAGACTGTCAGCCATTTTAAGTTTGTCAGTCGTCATTTCACATCGCTACAGTAGGACGGAGAACGTCAGGATTCAATTTCAGCATATTTCTCTTACAACTGTAGTGGAGAATTGCCTTCTATGAACTGAATCTCTTCCTAAAACAAAAAAGTAGATCCTAGTGAAGTGACGCATAAGCCAGTAGATTCCAGTGTCGAGTTGTAATTTTTTGCACCTCAATGTAGGTAGAGGAAATGGCTGTGGAAAGCATGACTGTCCATCCAAACTCCCCAACTACCAACCACGAACACAACAGTCTCCTGACTGACGAAAGGTCGAGTAATTCTACAATCATATTTAAATGAAATTATTTATTTGTCCTGTGCTTTTACACAAAAGCCCGGGGTTTCTTTTTCTTTTTTTTTCTGTCAAAGGGATTAAACTCGCCTTTTCTGGAAAACGAGTACAGAGGTAAAGAGAACGGCCATGTTGACACGACAACGCCAACTGGGAGGCCTAAAAGCACCTGGAATAACGTTATTCCCTGCATTTTTTACTCCATTCTCACAGTCAACGGTCAATCGACTTGGGCGAACTAGTCTGGTGGAAAACAAAAGATTAGCTCGAAACAGCTGATCATTTAAACTTCCATTTCCATTACAGCAGGCTCAACGAATATGAAGCTCCGGTTAATTACTTGCCCATCCGCGAGACCCGTACACCAATTAACGCTTAGTTTAGCTGCACGCGCTTGTGGCGACAGTCGCTGAAAAATCGCAGGTGAATAAAAATCCAACCGATTTTCGCTCGCCAACGGTCGGCCTGCACCGAAGCTAACATGCTAACGCTAACTTGTTAGCTAATGTTGGCAATCAGATCAAGGCTAAGCTAACGGCTAATGGGTTTGTCTTCGGTAATTTCGGTTAATAACGTATATAGACCACGAATTCCTTGTTTAATATATCGATAACAATTGTTATCAAACTAACAAGACGGATATTTTGTCACTTTAGACGATTAACTAATCTCTTAATACGTAAAAAATATCTTCGTGTGGCGACCTGTAGCCGTCATTAAATCGACTACGCCCTTTAAAGCAGGAAGCTTCTTAGAGCTCCTGAAATCATAAATTTCAAGCTCAGCTATGTTTTTAAATATTTAATTTTTAACAGTGATCGACCGATCATCTTTCATGCGTGATGGATATTTGTCTAACATGTCCCCTTTATTCACAGTCGAGCCCACACTGACTCGTCCCAAACATCCACAAAAGTCCATCAAATGTTTAACACGTCTGCAAAGCATCCCAGAAAGTGTTTCAAGTCAAACACAAAGTTCCCTTTTCCCCAGTGCCCAACTGGCAAATTTACGTTACCTAGAAGCCCCTTTCCAAAGTCCCACAACCCCCCCAATCCCCCCCCACTAGTACCCCTAAAATGTCAGGGAAAAACTTCTCTGTGGTTTTGAGTGCAAAATGTGAAGAAAACCAGTCACAGTAAGTATTCCCCATTTTAATCATGGCCCTTTGCTTATATAATGAATAGATCCACAGAGCTAATACTGTACCATAATGCATGGTAAAGCCTTAGTTGAGCAGAATATTGTTGAACTATTGAAGAACTTCTCACAGCTGGTTTCTGGCAAGCTGTTTTGATAGATTTTGGAGTTTGATTGAGTGTATTTGCATATGGTGGAAAGCTTATTGGCATAGTTGACATGGATAATGGTGGCCAAGGCTGTAGTTCTGGGGTAAATACACATTTCCTCCTTGGATTGGGCTGTTCAGTTCAGTTTTGGTCGGTAGATTTGAGCGGTATTAACTCTAAAGTGTAGGCTGACATGAACTGTTGGGATTATGTGATCTGAGCATTGAGATGTCTGGCTGGTGTTTATTTGCTTTTCTAGTTTTCCTCCCAACTGGCACATTGTTGGCAACAGGTGATGTGTGTATAACGTGTGGACGGGCCAGAGAGGCCAGTGGTTTTCTGTCCACAGTGAATCCCAGCCCCCCCCCCCGCTCCCATTCACCGTAACCTGTGTCTGTAAAGCAGAAAATCCCTGAGCTGCTGTAGGATCAGAGAGCCCTCCGCTGGGACCGGAGAGGTCTTCTGGTGACAGGTCTGTGTGCCAGGAGGACGCTGATTTTTACTCCTGAGAGGCCTTTTTCGTTGGCATATCGAGCTTGTGCGTTGACATTTGTATCACGCTGTTTTTAGAGGAGTAACAAAGGAAAGAATAGGGTTAAAAGTATGTTGGCTATTTGGGAGAGAACTCCCATACTGCTCTGGCTTTCTGTCCAAATGTGCCATCAGATTTATTTTGTTTGCTTTGGATTGTGCAAACGAACAAACAGCAGATAACTTAATCAATGCTGGCGATGCTCAAAGCTGAATGCTGACGCCTGTTGTAAAAAAAAAAAAAGAAATCTGTTACATCTTTAGAACTTTTCTTTAACTTAAAAACCTAAAATTGTCAAGTGAAGAATCATGCCCCTCGAATAGCGAAATTTTGCCGTGTTTTCTACCTCAGACGCTGCTTTAATTCCACATTTAAAGGGAGAGAAAGTGTTTGCGTTGGCTTTATTTGGCTAGGAAAGGCAGCTGTGTGTTTGGTTTTTATTTCCCACGGCTGTGCGTGCAGGTGGAGGAGGCTGAGCGGAGGTTTTTACCGCCGGTTTGCACAGCGGCGGCGGTGCGGTTTTTGTGCAGCCGACGGAGCACGTGGACCATAGCGCCACCTGCTCTGCGTCTCGTCAGGCTGCCGTCGTCTTTGTGAACAAGTGCGGGCCTCCCCGCTCCAGCCGGGCCTCGGGTCTGGCCCTCAGACCCAACCCGCTAACCTAGTTTGGGTGTCGGCTTCTGTGGGAGGGCCGGAGCACAGTCACACACACAGTGAGGGACCCACACTTTGTCTCTTGGCTACACTCGGCTCCTCCTGCTGCCTGACACGCGTCCCAAACGGGACTCCTGACTTCCCAGAGTGTGTGTGCTCAGCAGTGTGTTTTGGCCCGCCGCTGGATGTTCAGATAGAAAAGGATCTCTGTCGCATCTGATCCACAGATTTTCCACATCATGTGATCAAAACCCCGTCCGGCCTTAGAAAAGAAATGTTTAGCATAGCAGTCCTTTCTCAGAAATTCTCGTGTTGATGAGATCATCCTCTGTAATTAATGGTTCCAACTTAATGTCTTTGACGTGTTAAAAGCTGAAAAATGTCCCTTTTTGTCCATTATTTTGGTTCACAGTTCCTTGATCAGCTCATTAATATGAACGGGTCTGTAAAGGGGTGATTAATGAAGTCGCACACGTTTTTTGTCCTTATCAGTTTAGCTGATGAATGAGGCCATTGTGGGTCTGAGTTTTCTGCTGGCCTTCAAACTACAACATTCACAGTTTACGAAATCAGATATTCACTCATTAAATGGTTCTGGAGAAATAAACTGCAAATAAAAGAAATCTATAGGGCGCTCGTTACTTTTGGCTCCCAGAAGTCAGAAATGACAAATTTAGTGTTTTCCCTTGTTTTTTGGGGACATTTTCTTTGGTTTGAAAAGGATTGACATCATATTAATTTATTATTTCCATTGTAATTATTTATTTATTTCCAGCCTGTCTTTTAACCCAAAATACACTTCGTCATTTTAGGAAATCTTAAACTAAAACTAAAAAGCCTCTGTACTCCTTTTTCTTATCATTTATGTGCTGTTGTCTTTTTTTTGTGCATTTTTTTCCCTAGCACTTTAGTTTGTTGCCCTCTTTGTGAGTCTGAGCCAGTTAAACTCGTGACTTTTAACTGTCTCTTTTCCCTCCACATGCACAGGCCGGAGGATGGCGAGCTGGAGGAGGGCGAGCTGGAAGACGATGGGGGGGAAATGGAGGCGGAGGAGGCGGGCGGTGGCCTGCCCGCCTCCGCCGGACCGGGCGGAGACGGGCTAGACGAGGCGGGCGGAGGAGGAGGAGGAGGGGTACCGGGGGGCGAGGGCCCGGCGGAGAGGCCCCCCCCGCAGGGAGCGCCACGCCAGCAGCGAGTCGGACGACGAGCGGTCCCACCGGCGCAAGAGGAAGCGGAAAAAAGAGCGGGAGCGGGAGAAGAGGAGGGCCAAGAAGAAGCGCAAATCCAAGCACAAAGTAAGGAGGAAGAGGAGGAGGAGGTGAGGGTGTCCGGGCGGATGTGGGGAGACGTGTTAACCGTGCCTCCCTTTTCAGCGCCACGCGTCCTCCGACGACGACCACTCCGACTTTAGCGAGGACTCCGACTACAGCCCCAGCGAGAAGAGGAAGTACAGGGAGTACAGCCCCCAGTACCCCCCCCCTGTAAGTCTGAGCAGAGCTCGGGATATCCGCGTCCCACAGAAAAAGTTCGATTATCGTGACCGTTCTCCCGTTCTTCTCCCCACTCCAGCCCCACGGGGGCTACGGCGGCCCCAAGAAGGGCGGCTACATGAAGATGGAGAAGCCGAGCTACGGGGGCTACGACGACTACAACGAGGACAACTACGAGGGGGAGGAGGAGGAGGACTTGGTGGAGGAGGACTACGACGACTTCGCCAAGGAGCTCAACCAGTACCGCAAGGCCAAGGAGGGAGGGGGCGGCCGCGGGGGCCGAGGTGAGTCCCGGCCAAAGCCCCCCCCCCCCCCCCCCCAGCTCAGAGCCCCCGGACGGGCTCACAGTGCTGCGTTGTGTCCGCAGGGGGCCGAGGGCGCATGAAGGGCCTGAGGGGCCGCGGAGGGATGCGGGGGGGCAGGAGAGGCCGAGGGGGGGGGAGAGGACGAGGAGGCCGGATGGGCGGAGGCAAGATGGGCGGAGACAACGACGACGGAGACGGCTACGGGGACGAGATGGAGCTGAAAATGCCTGTGTGTGCCCCCCTTTACCCGCATTCATGACTTAGGCCTTAGATGTGTAAATACATATATATCGTTAGTGGCTCGATGTGGGTTTGTTCTTCATGTTTACGGTGAACTGATCCCTCCCCACAGTACGGAGAAGACGAGTACGACAACATGGGCGAGGACGACTACGACGACTACTGCAAGGAGCTCAATCAGTACAAAAAGTCCAAAGACAGAGGCAGAGGTTTGTGTCGGTCCTTCTTCTCCACGGTCGGACCGTCTCAGCCGTAAATTCACCGATCGCCTTTTTGAATTTCTCTCCCAGGGGGCAAAGGCGGCCGCGGGCGGGGCCGAGGCAAAGGAGGCCGGGGCATGATGCGAGGCGGAAAGGGCCGGAACCGAGGAAGAGGCAGAGGGGACATGGGCAACGATGATGACCACGGGGACATGGACAACGGGGTACAGCCCCCGCCCCTCTCAGCCAATCCCACGCCCAGACTGAAGGCGTTCAGCCGGAGCTCATTTCCCCTCTGCTGTGTCATTCAGGACGGGGCCGGACCCGATGGGCCGGGAATGGGGAGGAGGAACCACCACGAAAAGCACCAGGATAAGAAAGGGAAGGCCATCTGCAAGTACTACATCGAGGGAAGATGCACCTGGGTAGGAGGGCTCATACTCCCCTCTCAAGTTTGGCTGCTTTTACCCCTTTATGTCCTTCCTTAATGAATTAATTTAAATAGACGTAGAACATGCATGGCAGTTTCTGGAAACCCCTAAGAAGCAGTTCGCCGTTGGGTTGCCGGGAGCCCCAAACCGGAGCCGAGTTAACCCTCCCCTGTTCTCCTCCTCCAGGGCGACCACTGCAACTTCAGCCACGACATCGAGCTGCCGAAGAAGAAGGAGCTCTGCAAGTTCTACATCACCGGCTTCTGCGCCCGGGCCGACCACTGCCCCTACATGCACGATATCCTTCACCCACCGTAGTCTGTTTATGCCCCGTGTGCTTGGGGTAACTCAACGTTTCAGGGCTAAATGTGTGCATCCGGCTTCTTTTACTATTTAGTTTATGCTGATAGCCTGAAATTTCCATCAGGTGATGTCGCCTAGGCTTGTCCCGATTTGCTAAAAACTGCGCATCGGCCGGCAGGAGAAAATGCAGATCAAGACTCCAGATCCTTTTTTTTTTATGTTCGAGTCCACACGAGCATTAGCATTAGCATCTCCTAACCCACAGGTCTGTTAAGTTAACCATTAATCATTAAGTTGTTATCCGAGTAAATCCCTGTTCAACAGGAGTCTGACAACTAAGTAAGTAGAATAAGTAACTTTAAACTTTAAGACATGCTCTGATAGGCCGGGATCGGGATCGGACGGGAAGTGCAAAAAAGCTGGATCGTAACATCCCAAGTGTCGCCATAGTTTTAGCTCCGAATCAGTCGAACCGTTGTTAATATGACAGTGAGTCATAGTAAAAAGCCTTCTGGCCTCCGTGCAGTCGGAAAACAAGTCGAGTAGACCTGTGTCGTCCTCCCTCTTTTAGAGCTCTGTAGAGGTTTTCTCTGCCGCTCCCCTCTGGCTCCGACACCCACTCACGGGTTTCTCCTTAACTCCCCAAATACGCGAGTTCCCCTGCAAGCTGTTCCACACCACGGGGAACTGCGTCAACGGCGACGAGTGCATGTTCTCCCACGAAGACCTGAACGACGACACCCGGGAGCTGCTCAACAAGGTGAGCCGGCCGCCGTGGCCCCCCCCCCCCCCCCCCGGGGCCCCCCCCAAACCCCAAACCGGGGTGGCGGGCCCCCCCGCGGCTCTCTGCAGATGCTCTCGGAGGACGCCGAGGCCGGGGCCGAGGACGAGAAGGAGGTGGAGGAGCTGAGGAAGCAGGGGATCGACCCTCTGCCCAAGCCCCCCCCAGGAGTCGGCCTCCTGCCCACCCCTCCCCGGCCCATTCCCATGGACAACAGCATGGGGGGCGGGGATTTCGGCGGGCCCCCGCCCGGTGACTTTGGGGGTCTCCCCGGGCCCAATCAGGGGCCCATGGGGGGCAAAGGCCCCCCGGTTCCGGTGCCCCTTCCCGGGCCCAACCCCAACGCGGGGCCGCCCCTCCACTGTCCAGACGGAGGTCCCTTCCAGGGGGGGTTACCCCCGAATCCCGGCGGCCCTCCTCCCCACATGGGGCCCCCGCCCTCTGGTGGCGGAGGGGGGGGCTGCAAGAAGATCCCCTCGTTGTTTGAGATCAAAGTTCAGCCGACAGGACAGCTGGCGCAGAAACTGGCGGTCAGGTGAGAGATTCAAACCTCAGAGTGAAACCCTCCACACGGTGCTTTTGTTCTGGCCCATCCGGCTGCAGACCCTGACAGGTTTTGTGCGTAGGCCGTTAGTGGAGCTAAAAATGCTGCCCAGAAACCTGGGGAGAGATTATTATGGTTTATTTTCCACCTTAGCTAGCATGGCAGATGCTCCCGTTGGGCTCAGATCTTCTGGCCCAGTTTCCACAGACTATGAACCCGACATGGCAGCTAGCAGGCTCCATCCCGGGTCAAAGGTCACCTGGACCTCAGAGTCGTTTCTAACAAAGGTGGCGACAGAACCGCTTTATTTAACCACCTCCCCCCCTGGTAGAAAAACCTGGGAGTGGGAGAAAAGCTGCTCCCCGTAACAGAGGAGTCGGTTTAAAGCTGCTCGGTGGGAAGTGAAGCAGACGCAGTTAAGCATCAAAGGGGGGATTTTCTCTTACTAGTAGTTTGTTCTTTAGACAGGAAAGAAAAAATATGAAGAAATTAGGTTTCTTTGTTTGGCGTTCCTAAGAACAGGAATGTTTTTGGGATGTTTCTGTGTTTTTATGCTGTGCATGTGTTTGGTGAATGTTGAATAACACCCCCCCTTTTGCCCAGCAGCCAGGCCCCCAGTGGGAACCAGACTCAGACTGCAGCTCCTGGGCCTCCGGGCCCCCCCGGCGCCGCCCCCCCCCCCCTCCCCCCCCCCCCCCGGCATGATGTCACCGGACATGCAGAACATGGGGCCCAACATGGGGCCTGGCGGGCCGCCCATGATGGGGGCCTTCGGCTCCGGCGACGGCCCCCCGATGCCCCCGCCCCCCCAGGGAGGAAACTTCTTCAACAACTTCTTCAATCAGCAGGAGGGGATGAAGATGGAGGGAGCCGGGCCAGAAGGTGAGCGATTCGGGGGCCGGGCCCCCCCTGGTGCCGGTCTTTTAAACCCCCCCCCTAACGGGCGCCGCTGTCCCCTCTCAGGCGACGGCTTCCAGGGCTTCTCCGGCATGGAGGACCGGCCGGGAGGGGCTAAGTTCAGTAACCAGGAGGGCCCGGCCAACGGCGGCCCCAGCGCCCCGGGGGGGATCTCCGTGCCGGACTTCCTGCCCCCCGCCCAGCGCGTCCTGTTCATGAGGATCCAGCAGAAGCAGCAGGAGGAGGAGGAGAGGGCCCGCCGGATGGCCGAAGGAGGAGCAGAGAAGAGCAAAGACGCTGAAGGTAACAGAGCCCCCCCCCCTTTTTGTTCTGCTCACATGAGAGTGGAGGGTTTATCCGCAGCCTGAGAATCAACCAGAGAGATGATCGATGTCAGAGAAAGTACAATTTGTGAAGTCAATTCAGGTCACATGTGTAGTTGGGCTCCCCGGGGGCCTATCAGAAAAGGACACAGAGTTCTGGGTCTGATGGACATTGGTCTTCTTGGGCTGGACACAACCAAGTCTTATTGGCTAGAGTCCCCTTAGCTCCCCATCAGTTCATAGTTAGCGCCTTGTCAGAGTTAGCGTCGGTTCATAGTTAGCGTCAGGTCAGAGTTAGCGTCTGGTAAGAGTTATGGTCAGTGGCTGTCAGGCTCCTGAATCTTTCCTTTTGTCTCCAAGGCGACTCGGGGAACTGGTACTCCAGTGAGGACGAGGACGGCGGCGGCAGCGTGACCTCCATCTTGAAGACGCTCCGCCAGCAGACGCAGGTTCCCCAGAAGCCCGACGGGCTCCCGAGCGACCCGCGCCTCCTCAAGGCCGCCGCCGGCAACCCGCCGTCCCGCCCGGCCGACCCCCGCCTGGCCCGGGACCCCCGCCTGGCCCGCGCCGCCGAGTCGGCGTCCGACCCGCCGGGCGCCGCGGCAACTTCCTCCGGGCCGCCGGCCGACCCCCGGCGAGCCCGGCTAGCAGCGGCGGCGGCCGCCAGCTCGCTATCACCACCCGCCGCCAAGCCGGAGCCCCCGCTGGTCTACAAGCCGCCGCCGCTCACGGCGCCGGCGGCGGAGGAGGAGGAGGTGGAGCGCGTGCTGCGGGACAAGCCGGTGCCGGTGCCGCTGGACCCGCTGATGGGCATGGCGCTGCGGGACCCGCGCTCGCAGCTGCAGCAGTTCAGCCACATCAAGAAGGACATCCTGCTGCACATGCCCGCCTTCGCCAAGACCGTCACCTGGTCCCCCGAGGACCTGCTGCCCCTCCCCCTGCCCAAGCAGGACCTGCTGCCGCTGCCCCCCGGCATCCCCCCCGCGCCCCCCCTGGACGCCCGCCTGGCCCGGGCGGGGGGGCAGCTGCAGCAGCAGCAGCCGCTGCCCCAGCCCCCCCCCCCTGCAGCCCGCCCCCCCCTCCGACCCCCCGGCTCCTT